AATCTTTTGAACCATTCATTTATTATATGTCAACGTCACTGTAAACACCAGAAGTTATGTTCTGTGTCTTATATACACATTTAGGCCTATCCCGACTTCAAATATTCAGTCAATTTTTCCACGGCCTCGTCGTCCTTGAGATTCATACTGTAGTAACTGTTCCGGAATTCTTTTGCCAACCATTCTGTTCAAATGGTTTACCCACTTTTGCCTGTGTGCATATGCTTTATTTTATACTGATTGTACCGTATTATTAGTATTTCCTAATACGGCCTAATTTAGAGATTTAATTGCTCTTTAACATGTTTGTTTCTACAAGCTGCATTCTGTTTATTTATTTTTCTTGCATAAACTTTTTGTATTTCGTTAACTATTGTTTTGTATATACGGGAGGCAGTGAATTGTTCAGTGGAGTCGAGAAAGCAGTCAGTTCAGTGAGCCAGTGCTGATTTAAGCCTTCCCAAGTTCTACATCAAGTCTTGATTGGATTTAGTGATTTGAAAGAAACGTGTATTGGACAGAGTGTTTTTTACGGACTTCAATTTACGTATTGTGTTTACGGCCAACTCCTGATTGGCGAAAGTGGTATCGGTGAAGTTTTCCGCTCGGCCGCAGTTGTACGCAGTGCTCTGCGGAACAGCAAAACAAGCTGTGAATCTGAGTGTACACCAAGATGGCGGACGTCCCAGAACCGGGATTCCGGAATGTCAATGCCATGCCATAACGAACAAATACCCAGAAGCAGCTTCTGTAGTACAACAAGTACATAAAATGTTCAGTAACATTGAAAACCTCGTCGAATGCACGGCAGCTGAAGTGGGGAAAATCTCTGAGTGGACCACTACAGTGTGGAGGAGAACTGAGCAAACTTTTGTAAACTTCTAGATGGGAAGCCGCTCTTTAGCGCTCTCTAGAGCATGGACTCAGTAACACTGAATTAACTGAAGGCCGTTCTGAAGATGAGTGAAGCAGTGAACAAAACTTCATTGGAATCAACGGCTGAGGATGACAACTTCCGGGAAGTAAGAGACGCAAGAACCATATCTCCAAAGATACCTCACAGACAGCCAAGAAGTCTACTAAATCAGTTCCAACATCCACAGTTGGCAAACTGCCTCCAAAAACAGTGTAAACTCATAATTTCTTCGCGTCTCTCAGAACTAATAACATGGATGCGGAGACAACTGGAGCTGTGAACAGTATTTCCAGTATTTTACCTTCTCCCCAAATTTCTAAAAGCCTATCGAGGCAGTAATCCATCACCTTCCCCCAGACACGCCAGCGAAAGCTATTTCCAACAGCCTTGAGGGCTTAGGTTTCAACGTCATAAATGTGAGACAATTGATGACCAATCAAGGGCACCGAATGGACACATCTATGTGGAAACCCTCCCGCTATCCCATGTTACTTTAACAAAAAACATAAAATCTCAATAGATATTGAAGCTCAATAGCCTTAACCATATTATCATCAGGGTATAATCACAGGGCTCAGACTGGTATTACACGGGGCTAAAACTGCCAAAATTTTGGCCATGTCTGGGTCAACTACAACCCCGTAACTGTTTGTGGTGCGATGGTGGCAACCTACATAGAGAATGCCTTGAAAATACGGATGGAGAATTTACACCGAGCTGTTGTGCCCTAGCAAGAGGATCGGAACATCATCTAGCGTCATACCGAGGTTGCAACCATGCGAAAGTAGATCAGCAATGGAGAAAAACATAACGACCTCTCAAAGTATCCTGTGTGGGCGTTAATCTCTAAGTTTACATCATCAGAGCAGTCAACGCAGCTGCACTGCGTCAAGATACTCAACACCAGGAATCACAGGCACAGCAGACAGATGGGAAAAGCGTGCAGCACCCCGTGCAGCAGCATCAGCCANGGGGGGGGGGGGAAACAACATGTCTCTTAGTACAGGTTCCCATTCATCTGACAATGACACGTTAAAAGCGGGCATTGTAGTGCGACAGATTATGACAGAGCTCAGTAAGCCTGCGGCAAAGCGGTCTCCGTAGTCTAGGGGTAACGTTACCACCTCATGACTCAAGGTACGCGGGTTCAAATCCGGCGGAGGTCGTGGAATTTTTAAGGGCGGAAAAATTCAGGGACCAAGTCCTCCGAGAGGGACTTTAAGCCGTAGATTTACGGCACGTAAAAGATCCTCATGTTTCTAGGAGACCTCTGAGGAAAATTAGGCAAAATGTTTCCCGCCCAAGTAGTTTAAAATTCCTCCGGTACATGGGGAAGTTATCGGGTACCAATGCCAGTAGAGGGCCGACCTCGCTGGCAGAAAGGGGAGAATTATCGGGTACCACTGGCAGTAGAGGGCCGACCTCGCTGGCAGAAAGGGGAGATAGCGGGCACCAGTATCGGTAGGGTATGGCGACAGTAGAAATTAAAGGAGGACGTGCAATAGACTATTAGTCGCGGTGCATGGGGAAATTCACCCCCTCTATACTGAATAACTGAACTGAACTGGAAGCCTACGGCAGAAGAGTAGAAAAAATGGTCATTACAAAAATGGTACTTAACTCAAAAGCTTCGGCATACAGGCTATCGACAAGCAAAATAATACTCTCGGACCTCAATGAGGGTCTACCTGGTTTGGAGAGTCTGCTAAAACATTAGCGGAGATTAAGGAAACCGTGGCAAGTAACCCGGGATGCAGAATGTAAAACGGCATTTAATTGGGTTGCCAAAACCATCAGAATAATTACCCGTAGAAAGGCACTCGAACGGTGGAAAACGAAGTTAGGGAACTGTGAGGTCACACCTCAAGCTCTGTAGCAAATTGCGAAATCGCTTATGAAAACGGGTGGTCACACTTACGACCGTTCAATTGACTAAGATGCCGTTGTAGCATAAGATACGTAAGATAGTGCAAATCGAAAAATTTTCAGTAACATGTTATTTGTGCGATACGTACACTTGACGAAAGGTCAAGCGTATTCATAAGAGGCAAACCCATCTTCCCGTCAGAGAGAGCGTTACATAAGGACTATGACCACAAGGATTCAGTATAAAAAATAGTGTCTCTCCTCATGAATCTCAAGGGGCTTCACGCCAAGAAGAACCGATTGATGGTAAACCGACAGTCGTAAAGTAACTCTGACTTTCATTTCTTTGATCAGTGTTCAGTTAACAGCCGGGCTGTGAAGACAGAAGGCTAGGAGACTGGTGTGAAATGGCCGCCAGCCCAGGATCCAGTTTGTTGAAGGTTTAAATTTCATTTGTGAAGAAAAGAGCTAGTTGCAAGAGTGTGGCTATGAAAAGAAGACTTCATGTGTGTTGGAGTTACGGCGAGACTGGTATAATTACTATGCTAAAATCCGTTGCCAGGATACGACTAGTGACGACTGAGAACCCTAATTTTCAAAGTGTTGAGATTAGCGATGGCACTGTGATTACTTGTAATTAGTAGTTGAGGTCATAATGCAATAAATGCAATCATCCACTCCAACCCCCGTCTAATATTCACACACATATTGAGAAAATATTCCATATAAATGCCCTAAATATTAACATATACGCAAACTACATTTTTACATTAATTCTGTATACGATATGCCGTTTAGAGTATCCATGTAAAGTAGATGTTATAACTGCCTGATGCTCATCAAATTTAGAATACATATACAACTTTTAGAAGTGTCTCTGTACACGAAATTCTCTTCAGATTTTTCCGGTAGTGTTGGACCTGAAGTATCAATGTCTCCCGCATTATTCATTAATTGTTTCATACGCAATCACTAGATCCGGCAATCGAGTGTCTCTTGTTTTCAGGCCGAGCTTAATACAGGATCTCCCTTGCTCACCACTGATGAAAGAAGTGGATCCAATTCCCTATACATTTTGTTGTAAAAATTCGAGATAATAGACAGTCCAAAATAACAATCGTCTTTATAACGAGAGTTCTATGTTCTGGGATATGACGTAGTCTATTTCGTTGAAATTTGGCCGGATGTTTTCGGATGAACATGTTGGCTCCATCTTTAGGGTAGAAGAGTAAGTCAAACAAGAAACCAAGTAAAAGAAGGCGGCAAGCAGAAATTTGGGGGTTCTGGCGTCGACGAGATCCCACGAAGAAACAAAATTTAAGTACTGAGAACACGGGGGAATAAGTGTCGGTGTTGATATAATCCAGCAAGTCCAAAATAAAGTGACCCGATAAATGAAAACTACCTAGTTTCTTCCTTTCTGGGAGCGTAAGAGGCTTAAACTTGATGGTAGGCACGCCTACGACCGTTCAAGTGACTAACTGCCATTCGAAAGTGGTGAAGTAAGTCAAGGCGTAACCTGCTGAAGAAGCCGGCATTGACAGATGTGCTCTGTGTGTCTTGCCAAAGTATTATTACTTGTAGTAAAATGGCAAAATGTGTATACAATTAAAAATTACAAATTCCCTTACCTGAGCGCTCCGTGGACCGCCTCTGTGGTCTAGTGGTTAGAGTTCCTGGCTACAGATCCAGAGGTCCCGGATTCGATACCCGGTGCCACCAGATTTTCTGAGAAGTAGTGGGTCTGGAACGGGTTTCACTCAGTCTCGAGAAGATAATTGAGGAGCCATTTGAAGGAAATAGCGTCTCCGGTCTAGAAAACCGAGGTTGACGGCCGTGGGGATCCGTTGCGCTGACCACGTGACACCCTCCATCCGCAAAAGTTGGCACTAACTTCACCGACAGGCGGCGCTCGCTCGGTCGGTATAATTCGCTTGCGGACTAAAACCACGGAGTTTGTTTTTGTTTTTTGAACGCTCCGTGACTGCGAGTACACTCAAGCGAGTTTACGGTGCAACAAATATGACGCCTACTCAGAAAGGCAAACCCTCTCATCGAATAGGAGAGACCGCCGTTCTAAATACACACGGTCTTGCAAAGAACATGAATTAGGTCATGCGTTCTGACGTGGCTTAAAAGTAAGAATGACTGTGCTAGCGGGAACCAGAAGCGATATACTGGACTGGACCGCCTTTCAGGGCTTTCGAACCATAGTTACCTGGGTTCCCACCGGACTGTGAGTCTCTTCCTGCGCTGTCGTTTCTGCAGTCGCAGGCGGGGGCGCTGTGAGAGCCGCAGTGGATGAGGGCCCCCCGGCTCCAAGCTGGCATATAGCTTCACGTAGGTCTCTCGTTCCAATGGCGACACTTGAAGAATATACAGCCCCGGACGGGCGGCCTGCGTACTGAAAGTTCTCATCTCGTTGCTTCTGAATTCCATCAGTGGCGGCCCAGAATTGTTGTTCTCCGTTTGAATCGCAATGTCATCCACTGCGAAATAACAACCCGCGTTAATGTTACAGTTCAGAATCTTGTTACTCGTATCTTCTGTGTGCCACCTGAAAATACAGGGCCATTCCAAATTATTTTCCGGGTTTCCGTGGCCTATCATTTTCAAATGGGAAATAATAAAATAAGACTGCTTATGAAATATGAAAGTGCAACTCAAAAAGTTTTATTAATAATGGAATAAATGCTGCAAAATGCTAAATAACTTCATCATGCGCGCTTTTCATGCCCTTAAAATGCCTAAGTGATATTCGATTTCCTTCTAAGTGTTCTCCAGGATAAGCGGTATTAAAATATACCAAAAACTAGTTAGGAACTTGGGTTGTGGAAATAGCAAAGACAACGGCATTCTCACCCTCAATTCTCAGACACCCCATATGAGAAATATATGACTGAAATTTTTTTCAGAATATGCTTGTTTCCTTTATTATCCCAGCACACCTTTTGTCACTAGTTCTGATCAACCAACATGACAATGAAATAGAAGATAGTGTATGTATAAAAAGAGAGATATTTCAAAGTTATATGTTTGGAAAAGTTTACCTTATTTATTTAATATGTTCAAGGTTATTTTCTCCCGTTGAAAATTTAGCAGATTATCTCATTGTTTATTATAATTTTCCGACTAATAAATTTACAATTTTCTGCCGGCTTTCTTTCCTGTTCTACATGTTACGAAATTATGCGTCCAGGTCTAATTTTAACGCCAATTCCCACGAATAACAAGCACAAATAATCGCAAACCTTTTCCTTTATACAGTATACTATATTTAACATATCCAAGTCAAAATAATTTCAGTAATCACAGAATATACAAGATACAAAAACTAAAAAACAAACTCCGTGGTCTTAGTCCGCAAGCGAACTATACCGACCAAACGATCGTCTCTTGTCGGCTAAGTTAGTGCCAACTTTAGCGGATAGAGGATGTCGCGTGGTCAGCGCGACGGATCCCCAAGGCCGTTAATCTCGGTTTTCTAGACCGAAGCCACAATTTCCTTGAAATAACTCCTCAATTATCCTCACGAGGCCGAGTGGACCCCGTTCCAGATCCACTACTTCTCAGAAAGTAATCTGGTAGCGCCAGAAATCGAACCCGGACCTCTGGATCTGCAGGCAGGAACGCTGTCCACTAGACCACAAAGGCAAATATTTTTCCTCCTTCGTGTCAGGCTACATAATTGACGTTAATGCAACATGCTAACACCCGATACTTCGCTGCTACGGTAATGAGAAGCAGTGGCTCTTACAAAACTTCCTCTAAGTAAGAGCTAAGTGATATCTTGCTATGCGTGTGAAACGCAGATTAAGTTCGTATGTCTTTAAACAGTATCCTGAGGGGGAAATTTAGACTCAAGAAAGAAAACAACAGAATGATGGCCAAACGTAATATGATTCATAATTTGTATTTTGTACCTGATGTTATTACAGTAATGGTTAGGATAGCTCAGTCAGAATAGGGTCTAAGTTGCGTGGTGGATAGTTGAGGAATAGCGCTTCAATTCCAGGTATGGTCAAGAAACTGCCCTCTTCTCCCTTTGTCCAGCCCTACTCTGGAGACCATACAGCCTTCTATCCTGTGGGATATGACCTTTTGAGACTTTACTGAAGCTACATTTACTTAGCTACCTTCATTTGTGCCATGACCTCTGATTCGGAAACAGTGTCATAGTGTGTAACATTTCTCGATAGTAATGCATAATGAGGAGCTTCATAACTTGTACTCTTCTCCAAGCATAATTAGAATGGTCAAGTCAAGGAGGATGAGGTGAGCAGGGCATGTAGCAGGAATAATGGAGAAGAGGGATGTATATAGGATATAAGCGGAAACCCAGAAGGAAAAAGGCCACTGGGAAGAACAAGGCGTAGGTGGGTGGACAATATTAAAATGGATCTTAGAGAGATAGGATAGGATGGTATGGATTGGATTGATCTGGTTCAGGATATGGACCAATGGAGGGCTCTTGTGAACATGTTAATGAACTTTGGGGTTAGATAAAATGCTGGGAAGTTCTTGAGTAGCTGCACAATTGGCGGCTTCTCAAGAAGGGTTCAGCTCCATGAGTGAGTGAATGTATGAAAGCAAAACACAGTGACTATACTAAGGTCACGGAAAGAAGTCCCTCCACAACACCTTCTTGCTGATACGATTTTACCTTCAGCGAACGACCTTACATTCCCCTCCAGTTCTCTGGTCAGTCTGTTCTAAAGAATGTTGACAGTGACAACGTTTACGAGTATCGCTAAGCACTCTGGACTGGAAAGCTACAGACTGAAGTTGGTTGGAAGGAAACAAAAGAGGAGCAATCTCAGGATCTCTTCATTCCCACCCTCATGGGACATCTTTTCTTGGCCTCAGTATAGTGCGTTTACTTGTATTAGGTAATGATTCTTCATTTCAACTTTACGTGAAAAAAAAAATAATAATAATTGCTTTGCATTACTTTAAGAACCGGTCTTTCGTGTAAAGGTTAGTTGCAATTTACTTACGAGATTGTCCAAGAGATTAATAACACTGAAGATCGCAGAAACGTGCAACTTTGAAAAAGGACTTGGGCTTTTCGTAGTTTAACTCTTAAAGCCCAGTGGTTGTTATATGCACCACTTATTTTAAGACACTACGTGCAAAACTGTTCTGCATCCTGCCCACAGAGTGTATGTGTGTTCCGTATGGTTCTCACAGTAAACAGTGTTTTTCCCTAAACAGCATTCACCGGTTGGTCATTGCAGCGGAGACTTAATGTGTTTCCAGTGAGGTACGGACTGAAGTTTTATATGTTAGGACTACCTTCTTTCAACTGTTAAAATGGCCACGAGGACAGTGCGATAAGTTGCATTTCCCATGGGAAAATCTAGTAATTATAGAGAATAAAAAAATTACAGGTTTCTCTGTACAGCGGATTTTTGAGACACGGAGAGAACGTCTGAAATAAATGTCTTGAACCAAGCTGGATATAACAACAGAGTTACATGAGGAGAACCTGAATGTTCCATAAGTATATTCTTAACTCAAAACTGATTTACTAAAGTAGGGAGATTTAAATTGGACACTTGTAGCATAAGTCAAGGAAGAGTACCTCAAGAGAAGAAAGAGGTGGGGGAGGGGGGGAGCATCGGATTGAACTAAGAAGCATGGTGAAATCTTCTTAAAACGAAAATCCCAACCAGACATGTGCAAATATTTAAGTAACCGATCCGAAAAACAATACGAATGGTACGAAAGATAAAGAAATGAGAGGAATTTTTATCCTTCTGAAGCCCGAAATTCAGGCGAACAATATTGTCACGTATTCGAGTGACTATGGATGGGGTTTGGATTGGTAACTGGATTTACTGAATATTTACAGGTCGTAACTACAAGTAACTGCTTCCGTGCTCACATTCTTATCTGCTGGCGATTGCCTCGCAACTAACTCATTGCTCCAACTGTCCTGCTCATAACATCTCGGCACGAATCGCACAGAAAACACCTATCCTCTGTTGCTGTTTCAATTTGCTGCCGTGAGAACATGCTTCTTTACGAAGCCTTTACTCACTAACGGCTGTTGTATGGCTACTTCTTTCGAGATCGTTGCTTAGCAAAGGGTCTACATGCCACAATATTTAAAAAGTTTATTTCCTGTTTAAAAAAAACACATCGCGTCCTCATTACAAAGACTAACAGGTTTGGGGAAAATTTCGCTTGTTATTCTGAGAATGAAATGAAACACAAAAATACATTCTTTGGGAACAGTTAAGAGGTCTTGAATGTTATTAATAATGTCTGATAATGTATCAAACACGTGCTTTAAAACATTAAGAATTCTGAAGCAGTATCGAAAATTATAGAAGACAGAGATATAAATAACATTTTACGATTCGGAGAGACGTCCATTCGAAGGCAGGCACAGAGTTCCCTTTTCACTTTCCTTTCGTTATGTAATATTTACGAAGAAGTTGCTATGTTTTTCGTTATTCTTTTTTGTTTAAGAACCTGTTAACATTGTAAAGCAGAAATTGTTGCATTTACAATACAAAGGGTCAAGTTAGTGTCGTCATCAACAGACGTTATTTGTTAGCTGTGTGTGTAGGTGTCAATAGCAGAATAACCAATCATAGCGCAGCTGAGAAGCACGCATGATGTTGTTGACTGGCGCCTGGTTTCTTCGGTTATTATTTTGTGTATAAAACAGCTTTCGGATTATGTAATCATCAGATAATGATGCAGATTGTTACATAATCATTAGGAAGTTACTAAATCCTAATTTCGGCCTATTATCGACACTTTTAAACACTGAGGGCTTTCTGTTCCCCAAATTTGCCTACCCGAAGTACGACGAAGCCTCTGAGATGTTTTAGGCAAATTATGCTGCCGTTTAGAGCACTGAGTTTCACCATTTGTAACTCGTTCCCACCTGCCTTCTGTCAAATGTACTAGTCTCACTGAAGTAAAAAAAAAGGCTCCTCTTTCCTCAAGGAGAATACTTCTACAATTACATGCTGTAACGTATACTTAGACCCATTGCTAGGTTACGATTCGGTAAACAAATTCCCGCGGGAGCCAACGCGTGCAGCAGTACGTCGTCTATAGCTAGGCAAAGGATCTGTAAACACGCCTAAAGAAATCAGGAAAAAATAGGTGTTTTTCTTGGGGTTAGCCTCGAGGCTATATAATATGAAGTTCCAAAGGAGCAGTTTTGAGAAGTTGAGAGATTTCAGTTGAAGAAGAGCTAATTTGAGTTAGCTGTCGAGGATTGTGCCGAGTTCTGTAGATGACAGTCGAAGTTGATTGACAAAAAATGGCAAGAAATTAATTAACCGATGAAAAGAAGACACTATGTTTTATTTGAAGTGACAGTGAGACTGATATTAATCTGTTACTAAGATAAGACGTGTGAAGACAGAAGCTTAGCGAGTGTGTAACGGTGAACTGTAAAGCGTGTAGATCGGCGATAGCGCTGTAATTGCCTGTAGTTCCGAGTGGTGTGTATAAGGTGTCAATA